AGAGATACTTTTAAAGACAGTGATGGTCTAATATTCAATATTAAGCTATTGGCATTGCTGAGTTGTAAAGGCCCCTCCTTTGCCAGTAAATCTTCAATAAAATCTGCCCGGCGAAGACACCATGTCCCAGGAGTGGGGCTTCTTCACCATAAAGAATGACATTCATTTTCACATCTCCCAGTTTGTCTGGCGCTTGGCAAGAAATTGATGAGTATTTATTATAAGGGAGGAAAAAATAGAAGTGATTAATGAGTAGACACAAATGAGAGCGTGAGGGGCGGGTTCGCTCGCTCGAGGGTTTCTCTAGCCCTCACTGCGGGGTACAACTTGGACACACTGAACGCTCAGTGAGGGGCCTCCAGAGGGTGTGGGTTGAACAGGGAGATGAAGCAGGCCTCTTGTTCGTTTATATTCGGAGACTCAGCTATAAATAGATGCTGTGGCCCAAAAGACTCAAAGCAGAAATAAGCCAGTGTCAGAAAGGCTCACATTCAGGATGAAACGGACTAAGCTGGTATCAAATGCTTCTACACCATTTCACGGCAAGACAGCGCATGGATCTGAGTGCTGTGCAGTGTGACAGTGTTTGTCTTGGCAAACAGAGCCCTCGGCAGTCCGTTGCCACCTGTTTCGCCACAGCACGCGGCAATGCTCCTTCCTGACTCACACTGGCTCACTGTTTCATAAGAGGGGGCAGCTCTGTTTCTCTCCCTGTGTCACCACAATAATTATTGAGAACAATAATTTGAATAATGAGAACTTACAATTCCCTGGTAACATGCGAAAGGACTGTCGTTTACAGCCAAATAATCTCCTGAGTGTTGGGTAATGGAAACCATTATGTTCTGCTTCAGTTTGCATGGCAAGCATAGACCTTGGCTATGAATGGAATTCGATTCGCTCACCATTCATTCATGCATTCATTCAGCACATACTCATAGAATACCAGTGACGTGGCAGGAAGTGTACGCCATGGAGTGTAGAGTCTGGCTTTATTCCCTCCCACATCTTGATCCGGAGGGAGATCCTGCCAGAAAAATGACCATTTGATACTGGATGCTAGGAGAGTGATAACACGTATCATAGACACCCAAGAACGCGATGGCTACCATCTTTAAGGAGACACTATAGGAACTCGAGTCTCAACCTAGAAACCCCCATATCCCACAGACACTACACAGTGGGCTGCTCTGGGTCTAAACCCTAGTCCCCCCCCCTCGCTAGCTGAGTGACATGGGCATGTATCTGCTCCTCTCTGAACCTCTATTGCAGAGGGTAAAATAGAAATAAGACATTCTAAGGTCATTCGAGCGACAGAAAATAGGAAGAGTTGATGGATTTAGAAACTAAAGCAGAGCTTCAGAATGGATATTCTATCCTATCCCAGGCAAATTGCTATAACTCAAAGCACAGCACACATGAAATGGTAAGCATAAAGCAGATGAGATTAGCTTCTCTCAAAATTAGCTCCAGACTCACGAAACAATTTCAAGAATACTACAGTCTTTCAAATTCTTTGTTAGGTGACTACACCACAATAGAGTTGAGAGAAAAAAAAATCAATGCATGCACAAAATGTCCATTTACATTTAACTGTCACTACAGCTCTTGATATACATAAACCCGGACACAAACAAGACCTACTTAACACACTTTCTACTTTGTTGCTAAGAAACCACGACTGCCTAGTATGAGTGTGTGACCATTGTGCGTCTTATGTCAACTCATTATGCCAACATAATTAGAGTGAACTTAACATTGGAGAATAGAATGTGGGATTGCATTTTTCGTCACCTATAGTCTATTATTGTCCAGAAGCCTAAAGAATATTTTCCTGAACCAGGTGAAAGAACAGAGAGGTCAAGGAAGAATTGAGCTCATGTGGAGGGAGGAAGGGAATGTGATTCTTCACGTGGCAATCCACAAAGGCCTACCAACTGGATGGCAGCTGTTCATCTTCTGCCCTTTTTCTCTTTCAAATACCTTGCTGTCATACTGGTCAAGCACGGACACCTAGGGCTTGACACCATGATGGAAGTAGAAGAGTGAGGGGCAATACTTCTACAGTTAATGGTCATCATTATCCTAAGCCACTCCCATCTAGAAGAACAAAGGCTGGTGGGAACGTGGTTGAATTCTTCTCCGCAGGAGTGAGAAGGTCATAAGTGATTGGCATTTCCTCCTAGTAGCTCTGCCCCACAGTCCAGCCTGTCCCAAATGACTGAGCATCCATTAGCCTGTTTGTAGCTGTAATTTCTCAGAATTCCACAATCACCCTGGAGCCCAGAAACACAGGAGATTGTTTCTTTCTGAGCTTCAGCAGGACTTGTCATAAATTCCTTCTCTTAGGAAAGTAAATGGTCTCAAGATAATTCAGTTATTCATTCACTCCCTTGGCTAGATTTAAATTCCCTTACCCTGTTTCACTGGATGATCAATTTTTTAAAACATTGATCCAAGCAATGACGCACTAGCACTAGAGAGAGCATGGGAGACAGATAAGTTAGCAAATGACAATTCAGTGTGGTGAACAACATGATCAGTATGAACACACGGGCCTGTGGGGCCCCAGGTAAGGCAACTGTCCCTGAATGGGAAACGGTGTGTGTATGTCAGAGAAGGAGGGGTCCTTGAAGAGGAGACATATGAGGACCTGCAACTGTGGTTTCTCCACTTGAGAGCAGTTCCTTGGCCTCAGTCATCTTTGCANAAATCCCCTTCTCCCCCAGTTGAGAACCACTGCTCTAAACTCCGCAGTAGCTCCCAATCTCATGCAGAGAATGTCTTCCTCCACTCCCCTCGTCGCTCTGATCTCATATCCTCCCGTTTTTCTCCCTCACCCACTCTGCTCTCTTCATGCGCACTGGCCTCCCTGCTCTTCCTGAACCAGTAGCGGTGACCCCAGTCGGAGCCAGGGAGCTTGCCACGCCCTCTCCCTGGAATGCTCTTTCATTAGCTTTTCAGATAACGGCACCCCAGTCAAGCTTTTCTGGGTATTACTCAGGTGGCTCCTTCTCTGTGAGGCCAGCTCAAGGGATGCCTTTTATGAAATTAAAATCCCACTGTGTTCGTTTGCTGAGACAGCCGTCACAAAATACCACAGACCAGGTGACTTAAACAGCAAAAAGGTATTGTCACACTGCTCTGGAGCCTGGAAGTCTAAAATCAAGGGATCCGCAGGGTTGGTTTCTCCTGAGGCTTGGATGGCCAGCCATCTTCCCACTGTGTCCTCACATGGTCTTTTCTCTGTGTGGAGGCATCCCTGGTGTCTCTTCGTGTGTCCAAATTTCCTCTTCCTACAAGGACATCACTCATATCAGGTTAGGGCCCACCCTAATAACCTCATTGTAACTCAGTCACCTCTTTAATGGCTCTATCTCCAAATACAGTCACTTTCTGAGGTACTGGGATTAGGACTTCATCATGTGAATTTTGAGGGACACAGTTCATCCCATGACACCCACTATCACCTCCACCAGCACTCACCAGTCTAGCATTGTGAATATTTGACTTAATCTCATTTACAGTCTTTCTCTCCTCCAATTCCCCACTCAAATGTTGTGTTTCGTAAAGGCAGGGGTTTCGTCCATTTGATTCACCACTGCATTCCCAATGGCTAGACTAATGCTTGGTACCTAGTAGGTGCTCATTGATTATTTGTTAAAGTAATAAATAGGCATAGCTTTTCCCCTACATTATAGTTGGGGGAAGTCACTTCATTTCTCTTTTTTAATTTAATTTAATTTTATTAGTTTCAGGTGTACAAAACAACATAATGATTAGATAGATATTTACACCCCTCACAAAGTGTTAACCCCACCAAGTCGACTGCCCCTCTGACACCGTACATACCTATTACAATACCACTGACTGTGTTCCTCATGCTGTATTTTACATCTCATGGAAGTCACTTCATTTCTTTGGGCCTCAGCTCCCTCTGAGAAATGAGAGAATTAGGTTGGATAACATAGAACCAGAATTCTGTCCTAGTTGAATCTGGGTGCTGACTTAGCCCAGATTCCCTAGAAAACAGTCTAAGGCAAAGCTTCAGGGCCAACCCTTCCTTGGGAGGTACAATCCCGGGACAGCCAGAGTGAGGGGACAGTGAAGGGACGTGGAGCAGGATGGGGAGCAAATGCACAGCCCTGGGCTGCCAAGCTGGCCCCCAGGGCATGAACAGGCACTTCCAAGTGCTCGGCCACACAGGACATCTCCAGGCAGGCAGTGCAGAAGCGCAGGACTGGGACCTCTCCATGGGAAGGGAGCAGGGAAGGCCTCCTGCTGCCTTCGGCCTCCTGTTAGGCAAAGTTGGCTTCTCGAGTGAGGCCTTAACCCTTCCCACCTGGCTCTTTCAGCAGAGACTGGGGAAGCCAGATCCCAGCGCCTCAGGAGGAAGGCTTGTCCCAGTCAGGCGCCTGAGGGGTTGGCCTCAGACTGCAGGGAACCAAGAAAGGAGGGTAATCAAGACGGCAATCCCTGGTCCCCAGGGCTGAACAAGTGGCTCAGAGCCTAGGAGACAGGCGAGACCCAGAGACTCTGACACGGCCTGAGATGTGTCCAAACAGGAGGGGCGAGGGGAGGAAGAGGGGAGGAGGAGACGGCGGGAGTGTGCGGGACAGAGATGAGGATAGAGCTGGGACGCACCGCTCAGCGCCAGGAGTCGAGGAAGGAGCTCAGAAGAGCTCGGTCCTGCAGGCAGGGCACTTGGGTGGCCCCTGGGCCTGATGAGCTGGATGGAATTGGGTTATTTTGATGTCCTGACAGGACTCCGTGGCCCTAACAGCCTGGCCCCAAGAAACTGTTTTGGTGAGGTCCTTGAAGAGGGCTCCCAGCCTCATTACCGGCAGGGTCAGATTCGAGGTGTCTGTGGTGATGGAGGGGCTCCAGTTTCCTAGGCAGGGGGAGCCCTTGGGCTCAGCAGCCAGGGAGTGGCTCCATTCTCCCCAGTCCTCCTCCCTATTAGCCGTCTCAGCCCCTCTTCTGATGTCACTTAGCAAACTCTTCCTAAACTCCCGCCGCCCCCTCAGCTGTCTCTGGGGGGAAAGAGGACGTTTACTGCCACAGCTCCCCTCCTCCGGGAGGGGGTGTTTTTTCCTCCTGTGTGGGCCGTGTGTGTTGGGTTGTGCCTCAACTCGAGGGCAGATTCCTCCCTCCAGAGGTGATGATACACGCCGCCAGGAGCAGATTGCACATTTGTCTCCTGGGAGGCAGTGGGCGAGGGAAGCAAACTCGGTATGTGAGCGTGAGCAGGGGTGTCTGCAGAACCGTGATGGGGTGATGGGCCCGGGGAACGGGGAGATGACTATCTGACTGTCACTGCTGCTTGTGTGCAGAAGCCGCAGGAGACTGATTATAGGGCTGGGTCCCGAGGCCCTGGATGTGGGTGCAAGGAGCTGCGTTCGCACTTGACTGTCAGGGTGGGGGTGATGGTTACCCTGGTGACCAGGCTAGGCAGTGGGTTGGCCTTGCAGGCAAAAACGCTGGAAATAAAATACAATCAGCACTGGTTAAAGCTTCTCTCTCCCTCTTTTCTTTTCTTGACAGGAGTACCAGTTAGATGGAGACTTGTCATCATAAATGAAGGAGAACCTTCAGTGGTTGGGCCCATCATGTCCTGTTCTGGTTCCCTGTTAAAATCCGTTCCACACTTCCCAGCCCACTAAGCTGGCATAGGCCTGGCTCCTGGTTCTAACAAACCCTGAGACCTGGGGCAGGTCACCTCCCTTCTCAAGGCCTCACTCAGACCAGGCAACATCCAAGATGCCTTCGTGTTNGTTATGCTTTAAATATACATATATATTCCATATGATGTCTCATGGATGAAATACTTTAGAATTTCTTAGATTTGGGAGGTTACATGGTTTCCAGTTGTAGTGCAGCCACTGCATTCATCCATTCGTTCATTCAAAAAACGTTTCAAGAATTCTGGCTATACTACAGCAATTGATCTAGATCTAGGGATACAAAGCAAGATAGGCATGGGCGCTACCATCAAGGAGCACACACCCTAGGATCAACACTGGAAAT